GCTGCCGGAATACATATGTATATATACACACAAGCCTTGCCTCCTACACACTTTGTCGTTCTGGGGCGCAAAACTCTCCCCCCCCTTTTCCCCCCAAGTCTTTCCTTATCCATCCTTGCTTTCCGCGTCTATCAACCTTACAGGGGCGTCAAGAGAAAATTCATCCGACCCGCAAGCATTGCAGTCGAGCTTCTGTCTCGATGACATCGAGCGCCTGTCTGACCTCAAGCACCTTCCTCACGTCACTTAACCAATCCCGGCTCAAGACCTTCGCCCATCCTTGGAGGGAGTTCATTTCTCTTGCCGCACCATCGAGGTCGCCTTCTTCCAACATGGTTTCTGTTCTAGTGAGGATGCTCTCCACATCATCGCCCGTGGGTTGCCCATGCTTCTTGAAGAGCACGTTCGAGAGTACTAATGAGGCGGCGTGCGATGCGATGCCCGCATTCTCGGGGAGGAGTGATGCTTTTCTGACTTCGTGTGCCACGCGGCGGAAGCGGTCGATCAATTGCGGCTGCGAAGGGATGCCCTTCTGGTATGAGGAAGGATTGATGGACGCAATGGCTGCGTCGACAATGGGATCACCGTCAGCACAGAGTTTGAGAGCAGCCAGTTCCCGCACGAAAGCGCGAGGCTTTGCATCTGAGGCAGCGCTTGCGTCGAGCGCAGATCGGACGGCATCCACAGCCACCTGCAACTTCTGGGTTGCGAGGTTGGAATCGATCACGCCGTTCCAATTCGACGTAAGTTCCGTCAGATTGTCGATATTAGTACTGAGATCAGACAGCTTGCTCAATCTTCCTTGCCGCTCCGACTCCACCAGGTCTTTGATCTGAGCAACAAAGTCACGCTTCAGCTGGATGGCTTGCTCGGCGAGTTCATTCCTGAGTCTTTGTTCCGCGAGCTCAGCGCTCCGCTGAACCTCGGTCTTCACCTTCTCCTCGTAGAGCTGTGCGAGACGGGCTCTCTCAGTCTCGAATTCTTCACGATAGCGGGCGTCGTCCTCTGCCTGGGCGGTCTCAATCCTCTTCAGCAGTTGTTTGGCCCCTTCTTCAAACTCTCTATGTGCCTGGGCAATACGCTCCTCGGCAGCCTTGCGTTCTGCATCACGTAGTACGGTGATCTTGCTAGCAACCTCTTCGAGAGATTCCTTCGCCTTGGCCATAGGAGCGGAGTACTTGTTGGCAGCATCGGCGGAATCTGAGTTCACGACAGTAATGAGATCATTAACGATCTTGACCAGCTCTTGTACCACGGGTTCTTCGGCGTTGGGTACCGTGACTGGAGAGATATGTGTGACTGGGGGAATGGCCGGTGGTCGCGAATCCGTTGCTGGGGCAGCCTCTGACAGCGGCGAGGAAGTATCTTGTGCAGCTGCAGGTGTAGTTTCTGGTTTACCATCTTGTTTTGACGCTGCACTCTTCTTCGCGGTATCAACCGAGACACTTCTCTCTTTGGGTGTTGCACCGTGTGGATCTTGTTTGGCATCAGTAGCGTCTTTTGGCGTCACCACTGGGTTTGCATCCAAGGCACTCATATGCTTGCCCTTTTGTGTAACGTCGCTTCCCTTTTGTTCTGCGTCATCTACGGCTCGCCATGAGAGTCCGGACTTCTGGGGAATTGTGGTGACTTTGCTCTCCTCCAACCGTCCATCAGCGCGAGGAGACCTTGTGACGTTATGCCTGGCGTGCGGAAATCTTTTCTGGAACGACCTTTCCTCGAAATATAGGACAGCGTCCTCTCCGAAGGGAATGTATTCAGTGAAAAAATCGTGGAAGTTGTCATTCCTCAATGCATAGAAAACGGCTCCTCCGTACGAGATGGCACCTAAAGTAATCAGGTAGAGTAGCAGGCGAAATCGGGAGAACCTTTTCCGCGGTGTCGGTGGCTTCTGAGGAGGGGGTGGAGGAGGCGGTTCAGCTGGACTGACGGACGCCGGTGTCGTGGGAGGGGCCGTCTGCGTCTTGGGCGGGCTTGGAGGCGCGAGCGGGACATTCTGAGGAGGAATGGTCGAGCTTGAAGAAGGTGAGGCTGGCGTGGCAGATGTTGAACTGGATGGTTGAGGAGCTGGACTTCCAGGCCCACCGGGTCCCAAGGGAACTTCTGTCTTGACCGGAACAGCGCCAGATTGACTGCCTGGCAGGAATGCCGGGTCAGAACTCAAGATCGAGTCCTTTCTGTCCGTAAATGCCCTCCTCTGTGAACCTGATGTTAGTCGCGCGAGCTCTCATCGCTTGACTTAGAAGAGACGAAGTGTACCTGAGACAAAGCAGCTTGGGCAAGCAATTGCCGACGCACAGAGGCGCTAACGGGCCTTGCTAACCGCAGCATTGTAGACTGCGCCGGCCTGTCCGGGCCTTTTTCGAAACGAGTGTAGAATACGGCGTTTGGTGATCGAATCTGTCGAAGTTTTATTGTGAAGCTCCCAATTGATCTCCGAAGCTCGGGTGCTGCCGCTTTTACAACGAAGATTGTTGCGAATCACGTGATCATCACGTTCGTAGAGCCCCTTGATTGCAGCCTTGTAAGTTTGTACTGAGTACAGGAAGATGATGGTCGAGACTCGAATTAATGCTCCTCTATCTCCCCTTTTTTTGGCTGCTGTATTCTAAGGCCTTAACACCGCGCTAATAGTCACAACAATCATAAGCCACGCAGGGCAGTGCTGGGCGTACGGCCTCATCTTTTTCCAGCTTTTTCAAGCTTCCTTCGCTTCTTCCGCAGCTTCTCAGCTTCCTCATCACGTTTGTTGTTAGAGTATTGCATCTTCTCATACAGCTTGCGCTTCTTGTTACTCATCATCATCTTTTGTCGTTCGACTTCCTCCTCTTTCCGAGACCGTTCTGTCTGTCGAGCTCTGATGGCCTTGGCCTTGGGGTCTGCTCCAATCAAGTTCGATTTGACAGGTCGTCCTGCTGCTTCCGCTTCCAGTTCCTTCTGGTGTTCAGCATCCTCGTCTAGGTCTGAGTCTTGTGAGATAGCATCATCGAAGCCACCGAAAGTATCTGCTTCGTCTTCTTTCTCTTCCTCTTCCGATTCGTCATCTGAGGGTGCGACATCCATATCATGCGCATCGATATCATCGTCCTCATCTTCATCGTCATCATCGTCCTTTTCCTCAGCTTCTTGTCCCTCAACGGCTTGCTGAGTAGTCTCTTCTTGCCCTTCTTCATCTTCACTCTCATCAATTGCGGCTGCATCAGCCTCACCTTCATGCTCCTGCTCTTCCAAGGTCGCTCTTGGATCATATTGGCCACCAGTGGGCTTGACCCATGGGCTTAAATGAGGAGGTAGCGTCTCTCCAGGCGCATATACGTCGGTGCGCAGCAATTTACCCTCGTTGACACAATCCCATATCCATTGCGGCTGGACATAGATTCTTCCGGGCATGATGTATCCAGGCTTGACAGTCTGAAGACTTTGATCTTTCGAGCCTTCTTGACCCTGCGCGGATGAAAGTGATTGTGACGGTGCAGGCCTGTCCACGATTTGATGCGTGATCCGGGGATCTCTCTCATCATGGGTAAACGCGCCTTCACCTAGTACGGCATCCCAACCCACGCGTTTGCAGCCAAATGCTCTCAGCAAGAACTCAATGGGATGACGAGGAGCTTCGCGGGAAATGAAAAACGTGAACTCCGAGAACAAGTGTGCGGCTTCGTCGGCAGTTAAATCAGGCTGTGGCAGGATGTCCCCTTCTGGTGCGGCAGGAATGAATGTATCAATAGCATCAGTCTGTGCTTGCTCTTCGGTGGGCTCATCCTGCTTCACGTCTTCTTGAGCCGAGGTCTCTTGGGCAATCTTGTCTATTTGAGCCTGAACAGCTTTTGTGTTGCCATTTCGTGCATGACCATTGTCCAATTGTTTGTGTTCGTCCCGTTGATCGATGCCCCCACCAATCCCGCGCCCTTCCAGCGTGAACGCGGCCAGCTCTGCTCCTCGCTCGTCGGAAACGACGTCAAACTTTGGGGGATACACAAGGCCGATTGACGTATAGAGCCTGTAGTTGACAAAGCCCAGAAGGGTGCAATAAAATTCCACAAAGGTACCCATAATCCGGTAGTCCACATCCTGGGTTACCCGTTGCACAAATTTATACGGCACTAACCACATTATATCCTGACCTTGGATCGTCGCTTGGTAGTAGATACCTTTGATGGACAAGAAGGATTTTCGTAAGGAGTTAGTGGCGATTAGGTAGTGTTCAAACTCGTGGCAGAGGCGTTGACAGCGCGCAATGACCTTGGCAGGCACCTCGGTGGTCGAAGGGAGGTTGGCGAACAAAGACAGCAATGACAGCGCATCGTCCAGGTCTCGGAGAGCGTCCACGAAGGTAGGGTACCGTTCTCGCACGATGTGATCCAACTTTATTTTTGGCATGCCATACTTCTCCAGCCGAACCGCATCTTGCACTTCATTGCGACCCAGAGATCTGGCAATCTTCTTCTCGAGGGCTTTTTGTTCACGGAACTTGGCCAGCAACGGTTCGTGTAAGAGGTATTGGATGTCTTTGGTGTAGTAGAAAGTGGTCGAGTGAGTGGCCGATTTGCTCGCCTTTTTGATATTTCGGGGTTCGCGAGGGTAGATGCCCTTGAAGATACAAAGCCGTCGAAAATCAGGAAGCGATATCTGCAGTTTGCGTACAGCTTGTGTTCGAGTAATGTAGTTCTTCGCCTGGCCGGACTGGCCCTTTTTCTTTTGTTTCGCCATCTTGGAGTCTTGCAAGGAGGATGACTGGTATTTGCAAAGGTGTAGGGCGCAGAGATTGAGCGCACTTCTGAGGCCGCAGGAAGGGAAAAAAGTTCGAAGATGTGGAGAGAAAGAGACAATGCCGCAGTTTTGCCGAGATCCACCCATGCAGGCTGCGGCCACTTGGTAACTTCACACCAGCCTCGACCTCCTTTTGAATTCTCCTGTCCACAACATACCAAGCCAACAAGCCTGCAGGCGACAACCATCTGGCCAATGTGGTCTACAAGTGAGCGCACGTTATAACGACAATGGCAATATCGCTGGACCGCAAGACGGTCGCGATATACGCCGGCGCGATTGTGCTACGCCTCGTCATTTTCCTCGCTTTTCCCGACATTCCCGATTTTTTGACCGCGAGAGTGGAAATATCGACTCCAATCTCGAGCTTTCAAAGACTCCAAGAAGGCCTCTTTCTTTATCAACATGGATTATCACCTTACGATGGTGGTGTCTTTCACCAAGCGCCGCTACTGCTGGTCATCTTCGAGATCCTGCCGCCGACGCTGGTCTTTGTCGGTCTGGATGTCCTAAACGCAGCATCCCTACATGTTATTGCGGACGACCTACGAATTCCAACCTCTCGCTTTCACCAGTTGGATGGCTCCCTGATCGCTGCGGGTTATCTCTTTAATCCTTTTACCATCTTGTCGTGTTTGGGGAGGAGCACCAGCATCTTTACGAATGCTGCCATTATCCAAGCTGTCTTCAACGCTCAGTCAGGAAATGCAATCCGCGCCATGTTCGCGCTTGCGATTGGGACCTATTTGTCAATGTATCCAGCTTTACTTCTGCCACCGACCCTGCTCATGATCCATAAAAACAATCGATCTAGGTCTCTCGCTGCGTCAATCGTTTCCTATACCGCAGGGCTCGCTGCACTCCTAGCCACGACACCCATCTTAACCAGTGGATTCTGGAATTTCTTGGCCTCTTGCTACGGCGTCCAAATAACGGTTCCTGACCTGACTCCCAACGTCGGGCTGTGGTGGTACTTCTTCATCGAGATATTCGATTCTTTCCGGGATTTCTTCATCGGCGTTTTCTGGTTGCACTTGGTGGGATATGTAGGAGGCATGACTCTTCGACTCCAAAGCCAGCCTCTTTTCGTCATCACCAGCCTGCTGGGCTTGTTCGCCATCTTCAAGCCATACCCGAGCATCGCGGACGTCTCGCTGTATCTCGGATTTTTACCAATGTATCAACATGTGCTTCCCTGTAAGTTGTGTCCCCAACGAACCCAACACCCGGAGGTCTCGCTGACAATCACAGTAACTCGATACACCTTCATCGCTGCATCTGTGCTGCTGTATTCGACCCTATTGGGCCCTGCCTTTCACCATTTGTGGATTTACGCCGGCTCTGGCAATGCCAACTTTTTCTATGCCATCACACTGGTTTGGAGTTTGGGGTTAACCATCCTTGTTGGAGACACCTTGTTCGCTGTTATGCGCGACGAATGGGAGATGGAGAGGCCCGAAATGAAGGGTAAAAGTGTACGCCAGATATGAAAAAGCTCTCGAAGGGGATTATCATTTCACTGGCTTCGAGAGGATGATATGACTCGGTTCTTTGACGGTACCGTTTCTTAGCCTGCGTGGACTGGGAGAGAAGTCGTCCTCTTCATAACCTAGTTGCGTATACCAGGCGACAGCTCGTCGATTGGCCCTGAAGACAGTCAACATGATTTTGGTTATGCCAACGTTCTGACCAACGATCTCGGCGATCTTCATGAGTTTCTTTCCCAATCCTTTACACTGCCATTCAGGAGTGAAATGAATCTCGTAGATATAGAGGACCTCGTAACCATCCTCATATGTGATCATGAAAGAGATGAAGCCGGCCAGACCAGAGGTGCCGTGGATTAGAACAATGTATTTCAGGTCTGGCAACCTCATCTCCCTTCTCTTCTTGGACAGCGACCAGTTCACCTCCGAGTTCTGGTAGTCCTGCGCACTGGTCTCCTCGACTAACTTCAGGCATGCGTCCAACCATCGACTGGGTAGGTTGGCGGCGTCCACTTCCAGCCTTGACAACTCCACTCCAGGCTGACAGCCCCCCAATTCGGTCAGGAGTTCCCGTGGAGCATATTTTGCGAAGAAATCGGTCCCTGTCAGAGCGTTCACTGTCTCCACGAGCTTCCCTTCCGCCATCGCCCGACGTTGTGACTTGCTTCTTGAGATCTGTGGCTTAGGGTCCCGCGAATCTGTCATATTGGGGGTGGCTCGTGGCGCTGATTTGTAAACAGTGCTGGCTGGCTCTACAAGTAGGCGGTAGTCCAGGGACAATCTCCGAAAAAATATCGTAGCACTTCGCGGATGGTTGACGCGCCGTAGCAAAGACGCACACGACGGACTTGTATCCGAGCCAAGTTGTGATATCTTGGCGCTCTTGGCACACTTATCGCCTTGTCACGTCCTTGCACGTCTCTGTGCTTCGTCGTATCAGCATGACATCACGCAGATCTCCGCACGTGCTCCGCTTATGCCACACATTTTGAGCTTCTTAAGCTTCGTTCGCGTGAAGTAATTGTGATATATTACGATTTCAGGCCAGTCAAACGCCCTTCGACTCTTGCCTGAAGTGGACACCATTGCTAGGATTTCCAATGCGACTGCGGCTCCTTCCATTGGTCATGACTTAATTGAGGAGGTCAAGGAGTATCCAAACGACGAATACGAGGGCAGATTCCCCTCCTCCACCCTCGCTGCACTCGCTGCATTCAAACTTCTTCCACTCACAATGGCGTCCTTATATATACGTGTGCTGCTGTCGTCTTCGCGACCTCGTCTGCCTTCGTCCTTAACACGAACAGTCCATCCTTCGTATCGAATAGTGCCCTCTGCCAAAATGCACTCCGCTCCCAAACTCAAAGACCCCTCCCTCCTCATCTCCCAAGCCTACATCAACGGCGAATTCGTCGACGCTGCCTCGTCCGAGACCTTTGACGTCGTCGACCCTGGCTCCGGCAAGAAGATAGGGTCATGTGCTGAGCTTAACACCGAAGATACCAACAAGGCCATTGCCGCGGCAGAGAATGCATTCGCTTCCTTTCGCAAGACCCTCCCTCGAGAGCGAGCGACAATGCTGCGAAATTGGTATAACTTGATGATGGAGAATGCTGACGACCTGGCCACACTGATCACTTGGGAGAATGGCAAGCCCTTCAACGACGCCAAGGGCGAGGTGGTGTATGCCGCCAACTTCTTCCAATGGTTCAGCGAAGAAGCGCCTCGCATTTATGGAGATACCATTGGGGCCACTGTCCCGGGAAATCGAATTATGACGTGGAAACAGCCCGTTGGTGTCTGCGGTCTGATTACACCTTGGAACTTTCCAGCCGCAATGATCACACGAAAGATCGGCCCAGCCCTTGCGGCCGGATGTACCGTAGTTGCGAAGTCCCCGGGAGAGACTCCCTACACAGCCAATGCCCTGGCCGAACTGTCCCGACGAGCAGGTATCCCTCCTGGAGTCGTCAACGTCGTCACCGCCATGAAAAATACAGCCGAAGTCGGTGCGGTTCTCACTACCGACCCCCGTGTCAAAAAAGTGTCATTTACGGGGTCCACCAATGTGGGTAAACTTCTCATGAAACAGTCCTCTTCCACTCTGAAAAAGCTGTCATTTGAACTCGGGGGTAACGCCCCCTTTATCGTCTTTGACGATGCCCCCGACCTAGACGCCGCAGTCGCCGGAGCGATCGCGTGTAAGTTCCGGTCGTCGGGCCAGACGTGCGTGTGCGCCAACCGGATCTACGTGCAAGAAGGCATCTATGACGCCTTTGCGCAGAAATTCACGGAGAAGGTCAAGAACTTCAAGGTCGGGTACGGGTTCGACGATGGTGTGACTCACGGCCCTGTCATTCACGACCGTGCAGTCGCCAAAGTGGAATCTCACGTGCAAGACGCGACGAAGAAAGGCGGCAAGATCCTCTGCGGCGGGAACAAATTGCCCGATTTGGGATCCAACTTTTATGCGCCGACGGTCATCGCCGGCGCAACGAACGACATGGCGATCGCCCAAGAAGAGACATTCGGCCCCGTCGCCGGGCTGTTTCCATTCAAGACGGAGAAGGAAGTTGTCACGCTCGCCAACGACACCGAGGTGGGCTTGGCGGGATACTTCTTTTCCCGCGACGTTGGACGCATCTACCGTGTCGCCGAGGCGTTGGAGGTGGGTATGATTGGCGTCAACACCGGGCTGATCTCCGACGGTGCCTCTCCTTTCGGAGGCGTGAAACAGAGCGGGTTCGGAAGGGAAGGCAGCAAATACGGCGTTGATGAGTATTTGGTCATTAAAAGCGTGACGATTGGAGGAATCAGCAATGACCTACAAGGCTGAGTGAGGAGGGTGACTTCGGACGGGGAAAAGGAGAAACCGAAAGGAGAGCATGAAGAGCACAACAGCAGTTGTGCGAGGATACCCAAATCAAGATCAAGATTACTGGGGCGACTTTCAAGGTTGAGGTTATCGACCCGCGTCGCGCGCCTCTTACGTTACAGTGTTTTTGTACAACAGGGAAAATCAGGCACCATCCTTGGGGATCGATGTTCACAGTCTGGTGGACTGAATTGCGTCGCGTTCGTGGCCGGTGGCGCCGACGTGAGCGGACAAAGCCAGAAAAGATACCGGTGCGAAGTGCAATGTCCAGTGTGTAACTCTCCAGCGACGAGGAGGAGGAGGAGGAGGAGGAGGAGGAGGAGGTTCATATGAAAAGTACCTATTTAGTCACTCTGAGATATCATCTTGGCGGGAACCACGATCCCATGATCTTATGCATGTATGTATGTCCTCTTTCCCCCATATTCATTCAGGCCTTATGCCATAGCATAGCATGGCATGATACAATGTGATACATGCTCAGATCGACGATGATAGCAGCATTCCATAGGATTTCGGCGTCCCCTGACTCTTGAACTCTTTGGTTCAGTTGAGCCATATTGTCAGCACAATGACCGGAGAGTCAGAGATTTCATATTCACTATCCTGAGACACTTCGAATTCGGTTTACTCGCCACGGTTTACTCACTTCGGGTTTAATTCTTACGCTACTTTAAATGAGAACCGTCCTATGTATCATCCTTCCTTACGAGCCATTCCCTTTGATATCACAATTCAACTATTCGCGACGCCAAAGCCACAACATTGAAGCCGCCTGCTGAAGCCCTCACCGAGATGTCTGCGATAACTTCACCAACCCAACTTCAGTATCACCCTCATCGGGAGCCATCGTACGAACTCGCCGCGGTCCAAAGCACCAAAATTGCTGAATCAACTGTTGCAGTATTGGAAAGGTCTCCGAGAGATCCCCCACAACACCTGCTGCAAGAGGCCCAACGGCTTGCAGCATATCAAAAACCGAAGGAGAGACTCGTTGGCTTCGTTGGAAATTCTGGTGCCGGAAAGAGCAGTACCCTCAACTCTCTCTTCGATGAAGACGGCCTCGCAAAGACTGGTGCCTGCGGCTCAGCCGTGACCCCTTTCGCCGCCGAATACCGATACCGTGAGCCTGGCCAAGCGGCTCCCTTCACCTTGATCTGCAGGATGATGGCCGGAGAAGAGTTGGTCAAGTACTTTGGAGATCTACTTCGTGACTACTGGAGCACTTCACCGATCGGCCGAATGAACCATGAAGAGGACAATTCCAACTCGTACGAAGATACCCAGGCAGCACGCGATATCTTTGAGGCCACATTCGGAGGAATAGAAGATTTCGACATAGATCGCCTCAACTACGACGAGAATGACAAAGACGGCAACGCTGCTAGGAGATACTTGTCAGAATTGTGCAACCAGCTGGACTTTCCCGACAATATGACCGCAGACGGCGAATGGAGAGAAGAATCAGAGGACGCCGCCGGGTGCGAGGATCATCAGTCATTGCTTCAGGAACGAGGCCTTTGGCCCCTGGTCATGTATTTTTCAATCTTTGCAGACACGGACATGCTAAAATATGGCCTCACCTTGGTCGACCTTCCAGGTTTCAATGACACAAACCTCGCCCGGGTCAGAGCGGCAAGGAAAGCCCAGTCAAAATGCGACGATATTTGCGTGGTTGCGGATATTGCAAGAGTCACTGACAGTCAGATTTTGCAGCAGAATCTCGAACTTATCCAAGCAAAGGCCGAGGGGTTAAAGTCGACCACGGTCAATATCACAATCATATGTACCAAGTCAGCCGCAGATTTGGACAGGAATAAAAGCGTGGAAAAATTGGTGGACCGTACCCAGCTCAACTACGCCAGAGCCGAGCTACAGAAGGCCAAAGGCGCAAGCGAACAAGTGAAGAATCAGGCTAAGCGCAGACTGGAGACCCTTCTCATTACTGCTCGGAATCAGAAGGTGGAAAAAGATCTACAAAAAAAGTATGGCGCATACATCAAGGGCGGAATACTCAAAGTATTCTGCGTTGATAACCGCATGTACTGGAACGCCACTTGTGACGCAGAGCGAGAGCTGAGTGGCATTCCAGCTCTACAACAACATCTGAGTGGTCTTCCAGCCGCAT